GATGATTAAAAATTTTTCTTCTACAACTAATAGTATTAAGTGCGAATATGTTTGTGTATATGTATTTGTTATTTTGATAGATCGCTTTAAGTAGCAGATCTAGGTTATAGAGTGTCCGCTATTTCAGCAGGACTCATGGGGATGAACCGCTCTGGTTAGCAAATTTAGGATATGAATAGAAAGACTGCTCTGGTTATCAGATCTTGGGTATAGAATGTCCGTTACTCTAGCAGGACTTAAAAGATGAACCGCTCTGGTTAGCAGGTTCAGGATAGGAATAATATATTTACTCTGTCTCGTAAGTGTGTAATATAAAAGATCACCTTTTTTTTCTACTATTGTTTGAAACACAACATTATTTTATTTCTCACTTTACTTTTTTTATTTTATTCTATTACAGTAACCTCTTCTTGTTTATTTCACTGTTAATTTATTAATGTATTTTTATTTATTATATTTTATTTACTTCCGTTATTTAAACTATCGTCAAGTGTTGTATATATCGAGCTCTCCGCACAGACACAGCATATGCGCGTCGGCGCACACTGCACTATATGGGGTGTTATGCATTACTCATAAACATGCTTGTTTGAATGGTGTTTATTGTTTCTTAAAAAATAGCACTAAGAGAACATGTAGTAAACAAACAAATAGCTAGAGACCATTTACCACGCTCTGCTACCAATTTTTGTTAAATGATAATTAATATTATTTAATTTTGCCTTCGGTTAAAAACCGAAGATTGTGGACTATGGTCTCACGCTCCTTCACAGGCTGCGGGACAGCAGATAGTCCAATTATTTGTTTGTTTAAAAGAAAAAAGAGGAAGACAATATGTATAAAATATCCGTATTAGCTTACCTTCCTTTCTGCTAGAAACTTGAATACTTGCTTCGAATACTGGCAACTCTACTTTAATTATTAATTCCGATAACTTAAGCTCCTTCTTTCCGTTGCGTTTATATTTATTTATTTTATAATAACTTAAACTTTTTCTAATAGCTTTGATATCGATTTATTTTGTATTGGTTGTATACAAAAAACAGAGAAAAGATGGAACGTCTGATCACTTTTTTCATTTTAGTTATTAGTGTCTGTACTCGATGAGCGGCAGCGGGCTACTAACTAAAACGCTGCGCAAAGAAATGCACCTTGCACGAAGTTTAAAGAGCATACGTAGAGCCTCTTACCGCTGCAACCGCAAGTGGGTAGCAGTGGATGATCGTGAAGAAAAGACTGGATATACTACTAATTTTCTTTTAAGTATATTAATTAAAAAATCCCAAGACACCGTTTGATATTAGAAATAAGTCAAAGTTTTATTAAATATGTTACAAGTATGTCTTGGTAAATTGTTTAATCTATGATTGTGTACAACATCTGAATAATATTACATATTTTGTCCTTTATTTATTTAGCTTTAGTTGAAAGGAAGCCATTGGATATAAAAGTTGATGAGAATATTAAAAAAAATCTACCTCCCTTGCGGCGTTGTGTCACACTACCCGACACCAGTTCAACTTTTCATACATCTAATCATTTTGGCTTCTCTGAAGTTGGAAATCTTATTGCATGTACGCCAGCTCTTCGTCGTCGTCGTCAAAATGATAAATCTGTTGAAGTTTTAAGTGATCTGAATCTTAGATACCAGCAGTATAAACGAAATGAACTAAGACCTACATCTGACTTATTACTGAATTCTCATTCCAGAGGAGTACCATCATATTTATTAGGAGAGGTAATTAGGCAGCCTATTGAAAGTAGTGATGATACAGAAAATAGTGATGGACACATGTGTAGTCAACAAACACAGCAACTGCCTCCTCCACCACCTCCTACAGCTCCACCTCCGCACTCTTCCGAAAACGATGCCAGGTATAACACCAGCTTTCTTAAATTTATTATTATAAAATTATACTTTATCTCTGCAGGATACGCTGCTTGCTATTGTATGGTAATAAATAAGAATAACAAAGTATACATTTTTTATACCTATATGTTAGTACAGAGATCTGAGTATACATTAAAAAAAAAAGATATTGTAGATATTAGTCTACTCTACATAAGTAGTTTAATTTTGGTTTTATAAATGTACTTGACACTATTTATTTTGTTACCAGAATTAAATATTTGAAACGTATTAGCTATGTATCGTTACTAGCTAATTCATGTATTAAAAAATATCTTGTTATGGAATGTTGTATACTTGAAATTTCTTATCTTACCATGAGGATATAACCTCTAAAATTTATGTTTTAAACTTATTTTTTTGAAATAAGTTTCTTGTATTCTAGTAACAATGAAACTTTTGTTGTTATAAAAAATATTTATCGTTATAACAAAAACTTTTTAAAGAGCTATCTTACTGCTTAAACAATTCTTGACAAGATTAAATCAAAGAAGTTCATTTTAAAGTGATGTACAACTCACATGTATATTCCTGTAATTCTGTAAAATATGTGTTGTAAGTATTAGGTAAAGAAAGTGGTTACCACGAACAAATAATCACACGTCAAAATAACTTTCTATGAATGTGTTTCCTTATTTGTTAAATTGAATTTCTGTCTTCTGGCAAGAAGGCAGTCAATATATTTGTATGTGCAGATATTTTTGTATGCACTTTCAATTACAAACTTTATTATATTACAATAAACTTTATTATAATTTTTTTCAGGGTCAGTCGGAAAAATCTTCTTTTACAAAAGATTGTTTTATGATATTTCGTTCTTGCACGCACTCGAAACAGTTTTCAACCCAGCATGCCAAGTGTAAGCTCAAGCCTAACCACCATACCGACTGCTTCGCTCGCTTTAGGCACTTGCCGATGTCCAAATGGCTTTCGTAAAGTCTAGCAATAATCTTTTATTGCAGCAGGTGCGGTATTATTAGCCTTGATTCAAAGAACAAAAATCCATCTATCGCAAACCAAGAGAAGCTGTGACTTTAGGGGCCAGTTGATCGTACAAAAACTTATTATATTCAAGCATATCGACGTGTGCGTAGAGGACTATCACAGCTTGACATCACCCCACTTACAATAACACGGTGTGACGTCACCCTGTGATAGTCTTCCACGCACACCCAAATAATAAAAGATTTTCTATTTTATTATAGATTTTTGACTTATTCAATAACTCTGTACCATTTTTATTAATTTTTTTTTTTTTCCTTAACTTTCTGCTCACTCTGACTCC